GTTACCATAGTAACATTGTACTACTTTGGGGAAGTGATCAGTATTTTTTTTTTTTTTTTTTTTACACAATTTGCTTATAGCAAAGAATTACTTTGCTATAAGCAAGCATTTTCCTGAATGACATCGATTCATTCAGTTGTTTTTTGTGCTCAGCTGTGATTTGGCCACAGCTAATCGCATGACAGCTTGGCTGTGATTGGCCCAGCTTGTGCATGTGATCACTGTGACCATTCACAGCTAGACACTAGTATACAATGGATGGCATGAATGAAGCCATCCATTGTATACAACGGTCATGTGACCTGCTGTGATTGGTCACAGCAGGTCACATGGTACCGGCAACGGGGCCGGTACTCAGATCTGTCATCGGCAGTGTTCGAGGTACACGGCCGATGACAGATCGCGGCGCTGCAGGCATGCAAACTGCGCATGCCCGAAAGGACGCCATATGGCGTCCATCCGGAGGGACGAAGGGTTTTGCAGGCCGCCATCTGGCTATAGGCTGGGCAGGAACCTGTTAAAGACTGGTCCCCTGCTCGCCATTAAGGATTGGCACCTTTGGGGAGCGGGTACCCGAAATTGACAGGTACCCGCTCCCACTGCCTAGGCAATCGGAAGCGGAAGTTGTCCTCCTACCCACCCCTCCCCGTAGTCTTTTGAGACACATGACAGGTCCCAGAAGACTACGGGGCCATTCACAAAGCGCAGCGCTGCTCGCACCCGGCTGTGAAGCCGCAAGCCGTCACACCCGGGTGCCCACACTGAAGATGCCGGCGCCTGGAACACCAGACCGCTGGTGAAACGGGCTGCAGGGAGGACACCGCGGGATCCTGGGACAGGTAAGTGGCTGTTTGTTTTTTTTCTAAAGTCAGCTTTAGGCTTACTTTAACCTCTTGGCGCCGGCGCCTCCCGGCCCTTTAAGTTTTAGAAGCCGGGGGGGGGGGGGGTTTTAGGGTCATGTGACTGCCATGATTGCCGTCACACGATAGGATAAGAACCCGATCAAAATGGGAGATTGGGACCTTTCCGGGAGTAGCGGACATATGTGATGGGAGCGCACGCTCTCAGCACATATGTATTTTCTAATGGCACGCAAACATGTGGCCGCTTGGCATCAAGGCCCAGACGCCGAACATTTGCGTGTGATCGGCGTCAAGGTGTTAATACATATTTAAAAACTAAAAAACTAAAATAAAAAATGAAAATCTTAAAAATGCCCCCACCCCCCACCAGTGCTGACTCACCTGTGTACGAAAGATGTACTTACCTATTTTCAGCCCATTCTGGTCACATGTTCCTGTCTCAGCCAGTGGCAGCTGCAGAGGAGAGGAGGTAGCACCAGCAATAACTAGGAGTTCCAAGAGCGGTGAGGTCACCCAAAGGTTCCCAGCATGATGGTCAAGGGGTTACCTGGCAGCACTAGGGTGCTTGGTTCGAATCCCAATCACAACACTACCTGCCTGGTGTTTGCAGGATAGCCCGAGTCTAGAAGATCTCCGTCTCCTGTGTACGCTGCCCTCGTGTGGCCACAGAAGAAGTAGCTCACAAGTCCAATCGTCACTCTTGCACACTGCTCTAGGCCAGTGAGCCTGATCACCGCTCTCATTCCCCCTCTCCGCAGAATCATGGGACATGTAGTTCCTCTGCAGACCCTTCACCTCATATGGACAATACGGGAAGCCCAGCACATCTTATGAAAATGATCCCAGAAGAGGAAGATTCAGCGATTAGGGAGGGTGGTAGAGGAGGGCTAATAAATAAATGGCTGGTGCAGAAAATCGAACACCAGAAGTTTCATTTCACTGCGAAAACTTGAAGTGGTTGTAAACCCTGCCCAGTGCAGTGGCTGGCCTCAGGGATGAAACAAATCCTCCTACAAAAGTTGTACCTGTTTACCTGCAGCCTTTATCTACAGCTGTTCAGAGTGCAGATTTTGCACAGCATTTCTGAGCTTCAGGACAGTTTCACACTGCAACGCATGGTTTGGCCGTAGCGCAGTCTACCTGCGGTTTTCTATAGACTGTTAGGTGGCACTTTCTGAAACCGCACCAAAAGTCCTGCGTTTTGTATCTCTGGTGCACGTTCAAAAAAAATACACCCTCTTATAGAAGTCTAACAGAAACTGTGGGTGACCCCCGCGAAAACTACAGTCTGGCCGCAGCGTTCCAAGTTGCATCTGTTTACCTGCTGCCCTCTATTATCTACAGCCATTCAAAGTCCAGAATTTATAAAGATTGTCTGAGCTGTCAGAAAAAAAGAAGAGCTGAAATTACACTCTGCAGAGTTCAAACAGCTGATTGGATGGAAGGGGTACACCCCTCTTTACAGAGCAACAGAGCTGAGGCTAACAAACACAAGCTGTGATGGAGACCCCCCACCCATCACATTTTTTTTTTTGGTGTCAGGAAAATGTGTCGGAAGTGACTTGTGCAGATAGGAACGAGGCAGCAGACAGAAATGACACTAAGGCTGCTTCACACTTATCCATTTGTGGTCATGCATTTTTTTTTTTTTTTTTGAAACGGAAAGAAAAATGTTGCCCATGTAATCCTATGGATCCATTGTGGGTTTTTTTTTTTGTTTTTTTTTTTTTTAAAAATCCTGGAAAAAAAAAAAAAGGGGGGGGGGGAGAGAGAGGGAAAAAAAAAAAAAAGCACCAAAATCTCACTTCCTCATGAATGAAAAAAAGCAGCAAGAAAGCGCACCCAGGTTGCATTTTCGTTGCGGTTTTTGAGTCACATGTCCTGTAAAAAACACACTGAAAACGCAATGAAAGTGCATATGCGTTTTTGCTACAGATCAGTGTGAAAGTACCCTTAGGGGTTGATTTACTAATACTGGAGAGTGCAAAATCTGCTGCAGCTGTACATGGTAGCCAATCAGCTTCTAACAGATTGCGCACTCCAGCTGACCAAATTAAAAAAACAAAAACAAAACAAAAACAAACACTAGAAGTGGATTACTTTCTATGCAGAGCTGCACCAGATTTTGCACTCTCCAGGTTTAGTAAATCAACTCTGGATAGAGGCAAGTACACACTACAGAGGGATATGCTTTGTTCATATCTGAGATTTACAACCACTTTCATACACACTAGCGTTTTTTTAAGCCATTATCAGCATTTTTTCTGCTCCTAGAAGGTAAATAGTGTAATTCTGTGTGTTCATGCACGTACTTTAGGCTATTAGAAGCGTTTAGCATTTTTTTTTTTTGCTGGAAAAATGCTCCAAAAACTGTACTTTTTTCTTTCTGCTCTTAGACACTGAAGCTCAAAAAAAAAAAATGCTAACAGCTTTCTTTCCTCCAGCTTTTTAATTTTTTTCCTCTATATGTACTGTAAAAACCCGAATGCTCCTAAAACGCGTCTGAACACTACTAAAAGCCAGCATTGTTTCCAGCATTTAAAAAAAACCCCAAAAAACGCTACTGTAGAAATCCAGCGTAAACCTATCTAGTCCTAAAACTGCCCCCTCCCCCCTTCCTAAAAGCTACGCTGATTTTTTTTCTCTCTAAATAACGTATAGACATACCTATTTTTTTTACCTTGCTCTGGTCACATGATCCCGTGTCAGCGAGCCGCAGCTGCAGGGGAGAAGAGAGAGCACTCTGACAACGGCTGGGAACTCCAGGACCAGTGATGTCACCCATAGGCTCATCTGTTGCTGGCGCTCCCTCCTCTCCCCTGCAGCTGGCTTACAAAGGGAAGTTGGCTCACATGACCGGACGAGTGGGCTGAAAATTCGACACTTTTACAGGTCAACATAGGTGTTAGGAAGGGGGAGGGAACATTTTTAACCCCTTCACGCTGGCGCCTCCCGGCCCTTTAAGGGTTTCAGAAGCTGGGAGGCGGGGTTTATGGTCATGTGACCTCCGTGACATGCCGTCACATGATCAGGAAAGGTCCCGATCGAAAGAGGAGATTGGGACCTTTCCGTGAGTACCGGACATATGTGCTGGGAGCACTCTCAGCACGTTCTTTTTTAATGGAATGCAAATGTGCGGCCACTCAGCGTCTAGGCCCAGACACCAGCACATTTGCGTTGGGGCGGCGTGAAGAGGTTAAAGACCAGTTAGGTTTAGGTTGGAGTTCTACTTTAAATTCTGCCTCAAAAGGTGAACAATTTAATACAACCAATCAGGCCTTTACACCCCCCCTCCCTCTATCCCAGGCACAGAAACACACAAACGCCATTTTGCCAAGATGCTTTTAGTGACCACGATCTTACGCACAGAGGGGAAAAAAAAAGAAAAAAAAATTGACGCAAAAATATCCCAGTTCATGAAACCAGAAGATGCGCTGACCAAGTTTTTGACCGTTTTACCAGTCCAGATGCCGTGGTTTTCATGGAACCCCGGTAGGGAGATACAGCAATTATCCGCAAGCCCCCCCCCTTGAGATGATTCGATGCTGAGCTGTTGTCTGTGCGTAAGTTCAGGAAAAAACAAAACATTTGGTTTATTGTTAAAATCAAATTCTAATGAAAATAAGACTTCACTTAGGGCAATTCAATTAAAAAAAAAAAAAAGAAAAGAAAAAAATAAAAAGAGGGCGGGGCTGAAAAAAAAAAATTCTACACGTTTTTTGAGGCTTTGCAATATCCACCGAGCAGTCAACTGTAGATTAGTGAGTTAAATAATTATGAGCAATTAGCACTAATAGCGGGTGTACAGACTGTTCTGTGTATTAACAGCGAGGGCGGCTGCCACGGGTTAATGCGGAGCTGAAACTGGGGAGAGGCCGAGGAGTATTACCAAAACAGCTTATACCCAGCAGGGTGGGGGGGGGGGAAGAGATGATGTGTGTACAGACTGCGCCGCTGAGCGCCCTCTTCAGGAAGAAAAAGCAGCAAAGTCCGATTAGGAGGTGTTATCCTGGCAGCAGCGGGGTTTGGCCACTTCCCATGATGCTCGGCGGCTAAGGCCGGTACAAGGGCCGGGATGGTACTGTTGGGGATTTAGTGTGTTCCTGCATTGTCCGGATTGGGGGGTGGTCTTTGTCATTAGGAGGGCTGGGAGCCCAACAGTCTCTCGATGGCTGCGTTGATGTCTCCGCCTGTTGCTATAAGCGCCTGCAGGTTGGCTTCGCGGTTTATGAAGCCCATGGCGTTTAACTGGTCTAACTGGGACTGGAAACGAACTTCCGGTGTCTGCCCCTGGAAAGGGAGAAACAGAACATTTAACCAGATATTTCAGGAGGGGGCATTAGCATTATAAAAAGAAATAAATTATATTACACACACACATATATACACACATACATACACATACATATATACACATACATACATATATATACACACACACATACATATATACACATCCATACACACACATACATACACATCCATATATACACATACATATATATATACACACACACATACAAAAATACATATATATATATACACACACACATACATACACATACATATATACAGTTGTGTCCAAAATTATTCAACCCCCACTGAAATTGAGTGTTTTGGCCAGTTTGACATTGCTTTTGATCATTCAGTCATCTTGCTTACATTTACATTAAAGAGGCACTTGTAGGTCAGACAAATAAACATAACAGTTATAATGAAATAACCACAAATGTCTTTTCTGTGCTCACAGCATTATCAGTTTTATTCAACCCCCAAGTGACATTCAATCTTAGTACTTAGTACAGCATCCTTTTACAGTTATAACAGCTTTTAAAAAAAAGCATAGCTTGACACAAGTGTCTTGCAGCGATCTACGGGTATCTTCGCCCATTCTTCATGGGCAAAGGCCTCCAGTTCAGTCACATTCTTAGGCTTGCGCACTGCAACTGCTTTCTTTAAGTCCCACCAGAGGTTCTCAATCGGATTTAAGTCTGGTGACTGCGATGGCCACTCCAAAATGTTCCAGCCTTTCCTCTGCAACCATGCTCTAGTGGACTTGGAGGTATGCTTGGGATCATTGTCCTGTTGAAAGGTCCAACGTCTCCCAAGCCTCAGGTGTGTGACGGACTGCATCACGTTTCCATCCAATATCTCCTGGTACTGAAGAGAATTCATGGTACCTTGCACACGCTGAAGCTTCCCTGTACCTGCAGAAGCAAAACAGCCCCAAAGCATGATTGACCCTCCACCATGCTTCACAGTAGGCAAGGTGTTCTTTTCATCATAGGCCTTGTTCTTCCTCCTCCAAACATAGCGTTGATCCATGGGCCCAAACAGTTCTAATTTTGTTTCATCAGTCCACAGAACACTATCCCACAACTTTTGTGGTTTGTCCACATGGCTTTTGGCATACTGCAGCCGACTCTTCTTATTCTTTGGAGACAGCAAGGGGGTACGCCTGGGAGTTCTGGCACGGAGGCCTTCATTACGCAGTGTGCGTCTTATTGTCTGGGCTGAAACTTCTGTACCCACATCTGACAAATCTTTTCTCAGTTCCTCAGCAGTCACACGGGGACTTCTCTCCACTCTACGCTTCAGGTAGCGCACAGCAGTCGAAGTCAGCATCTTCTTTCTGCCACGACCAGGTAGCGTTTCAACAGTGCCCTTTGCCTTGAATTTGCGAATGATGCTTCCTAAGGTGTCTCTTGGTATGTTTAACATCTTTGCAATCTTCTTATAGCCATTGCCCTTCCTGTGAAGAGAAATCACCTCTTCTCTTGTCTTCCTGGACCATTCTCTTGCCTTCACCATGTTTGTAACCACACCAGTAAATGTCTAGAAGGAGCTGAGTATCACAGTCATTTTAAAGCTGCCTAATTGGTGCTTATTATGCTTGATTGCTGCTCGGTGACATCCACAGGTGTTTTCAATACCTGATGGAAGCACCTGTATGAACCTCTGTTCTTCAGAGTGGTAGTCTTTAAGGGGTTGAATAATTGTGGCAATGAAGAAAAAACATAAGAACCATTTACTACTGTATTACATAAAAACAATTGATGTCATTTTAGTTGCATTTGGGTAGTTACAACGTCCTTGTAGGATTTGATTCTGAATACAATTCCAAATGTACACTATAGTCCCTAAAAACCCTTTACAGCATTGGGGGTTGAATAATTTTGGACACAACTGTATATATACACACACACATACATACACATACATATATACACATACATACATATATAACACACACACACACATACATACATATATACACATAAAATAATATATACACACACATACATATATACACACACACACATATATACACACACACACACATACATACACACATATATACATACACATACACACACACATACATATATACACACACATACATACACATACACATACATACATACATACATATATACACACACATACATACATACATACATACACATATACATATTATACAGTATTTATATAGCACCAAAAGGTTTGCTCAGCGCTGTACATTATAATGGGGGACAGAACATGAGACAATACAGTAACAATACAATACACGAGGGGTTCGAGGGCCCTGCTCCTTGGAGCTTACAATCTAGGAGGGAGGGGATGGTGGAACAGGAGGAAGTGGCTGTGGGGGATGGAGTGATAGGAGGAGTGGAGGAGATCAGCTGTTAGGTGAGGGTGGGGTAGGCTTCCCTGAAGAGATGGGTTTTCAGGGTGTGCCTAAAGGTGAGGAAGGTAGGTGACAGTCTGATGGATTGGGGGTAGTGAGTCCAGAGGATGGGGGAAGTCCTGGAGAAGTCCTGTAGTCGGGCGTGGGAGCAGGAGACCAGGGAGCTAGAAAGTAGAAGGTCTTGTGAGGTGCGGAGGGCACGGGTAGGGTGGTATTTGGGTATCAGGTCGGTGAGGTAGTTTGGGGCAGCGTTGTGAATGGCTTTGTACGTCAATGTTAGTAGTTTGAATTTGATGCGTTTGGCAATGGGAAGCCAGTGGAGGGAATGACAGAGGGGGGTGGAGCCAGTGGAGGGAATGACAGAGGGGGTGGCAGAAGCGGAGCGGTTGGTAAGGTGGATGAGTCTGGCCGCTGAGTTCAGGATAGACTGAAGCGGGGAGAGTGTGTTGAGGTAGGCCGGTGAGGAGGGAGTTGCAGTAGTCCAGACGTGAGATAATAAGGGAGTGAACGAGTTGTTTAGTAGTGTCTGGGGTTAGGAACACTATATATATATATATATACACACAGTCAGGTCCATAAATATTGGGACATGGACACAATTCTAACATTTTTGGTTCTATACACCACCACAATGGATTTGAAATGAAACAAACAAGATGTGCTTTAACTGCAGACTGTCAGCTTTAATTTGAAGGTATTTACATCCAATTCAGGTGAACGGTGTAGGAATTACAACACTTTGCATATGTGCCTCCCACTTGTTAAGGGACCAAAAGTAATGGGACATTTGGCTTCTCAGCTGTTCCATGGCCAGGTGTGTGTTATTCCCTCATTATCCCAATTACAATGAGCAGATAAAAGGTCCAGAGTTCATTTCAAGTGTGCTATTTGCATTTGGAATCTGTTGCTGTCAACTCTCAAGATGAGATCCAAAGAGCTGTCACTATCAGTGAAGCCATCATTAGGCTGAAAAAACAAAACAAACCCAGCAGAGAGATAGCAAAAACATTAGGCGTGGCCAAAACAACTGTTTGGAACATTCTTAAAAAGAAGGAACGCACCGGTGAGCTCAGCAACACCAAAAGACCCGGAAGACCACGGAAAACAACTGTGGTGGATGACCGAAGAATTCTTTCCCTGGTGAAGAAAACACCCTTCACAACAGTTGGCCAGATCAAGAACACTCTCCAGGAGGTAGGTGTATGTGTGTCAAAGTCAACAATCAAGAGAAGACTTCCCCAGAGTGAATACAGAGGGTTCATCACAAGATGGAAACCATTGGTGAGCCTCAAAAACAGGAAGGCCGGATTAGAGTTTGCCAAACGACATCTAAAAAAGCCTTCACAGTTCTGGAACAACATCCTATGGACAGCTGAGACCGAGATCAACTTGTACCAGAGTGATGGGAAGAGAAGAGTATGGAGAAGGAAAGGAACTGCTCATGATCCTAAGCATACCACCTCATCAGTGAAGCATGGTGGTGGTAGTGTCATGGCGTGGGCATGTATGGCTGCCAATGGAACTGCTTCTCTTGTATTTATTGATGATGTGACTGCTGACAAAAGCAGCCGGATGAATTCTGAAGTGTTTCGGGAATATTATCGGCTCATATTCAGCCAAATGCTTCACAACTCATTGGACGCTTCACAGTGCAGATGGACAATGACCCAAAGCAGACTGCAAAAGCAACCAAAGAGTTTTTTAAGGGAAAGAAGTGGAATGTTCTGCAATGGCCAAGTCCATCACCTGACCTGAATCCGATTGAGCATTTCACTTGCTGAAGACAAAACTGAAGGGAAAATGCCCCAAGAACAAGCAGGAACTGAAGACAGTTGCAGTAGAGGCCTGGCAGAGCATCACCAGGGATGAAACCCAGCGTCTGGTGATGTCTATGCGTTCCACACTTCAGGCTGTAATTGACTGCAAAGGATTTTCAACCAAGTATTAAAAAGTGAAAGTTTGATTTATGATTATTATTCTGTCCCATTACTTTTGGTCCCTTAACAAGTGTGAGGCACATATGCAAACTGTTGTAATTCCTACACCGTTCACCTGATTTGGATGTAAATACCCTCAAATTAAAGCTGACAGTCTGCAGTTAAAGCACATCTTGTTTGTTTCATTTCAAATCCATTGTGGTGGTGTATAGAGCCAAAAATGTTACAATTGTGTTGATGTCCCAATATTTATGGACTTGACTGTATATATTAATTATACACACATATATATATATATACATACATATATATATATATACATACATATATACATATATATATATACATATATACATACACACACACACACAGTGAAGGAAATGCGTATTTCCTCCCCTGCTGATTTTGAATGTTTTCCCCTCACAAAGAAATGATCGGTCTAAAAATCCAATCTACAATCTTGTCCCTGACATCCTTGGACAGCTCTTTGGTCTTTGCCATGCTGAAGAGTTTGGAATCTGATGGTTTGATTGCTCCTGTGGACAGGTGTCTTTTATACAGGTAACAAAATGAGATTAGCAGCACTCCCTTTAAGAGACTGCTTCTAATCTCAGCTTGTTACCTGTTTGAAAGACACCTGGGAGCCAGAAATCCTGCTGAATGATAGGGGATCAAATCCTTCTTTCCCTCATGAACATGCAGATCCGTCATCATTTGTTAAACGCATTTCCGCTGAATTTGTTGCTGTATTCTGTCTCTCAGTGTTACAATACACCGAACATTCGATTTTTAGACCGATCATTTCTTTGTGAGGGGCAAACATTATATATCGTGTACATATCTAGAGCGAAAGGGACTAACCGTTTTAAAACAAACTAAACAGCCTGCACTGTTAGTCCCTTTCTCTCTAGATATATACACAATTAGTCCCTTTCTCTCTAGATATATACACAATTAGTCCCTTTCACTCTAGATATATACACAATTAGTCCCTTTCTCTCTAGATATGTACATGATTAGTCCCTTTCACTCTAGATATATACACGATTAGTCCCTTTCTCTCTAGATATGTACATGATTAGTCCCTTTCTCTCTAGATATATACACGATTAGTCCCTTTCACTCTAGATATATATACAATTAGTCCCTTTCTCTCTAGATATGTACATGATTAGTCCCTTTCACTCTAGATATGTACACGATTAGTCCCTTTCGCTCTAGATATGTACACGATTAGTCCCTTTCTCTCTAGATATGTACATGATTAGTCCCTTTCACTCTAGATATGTACACGATTAGTCCCTTTCTCTCTAGATATGTACATGATTAGTCCCTTTCACTCTAGATATGTACACGATTAGTCCCTTTCGCTCTAGATCAGCAATCTCTTAGTAACGTGGAATACCTGTATAAACAGCTGACTCAATCATTTAGGATGAAGTATTTGCTGAGAACATGTGAAGAATGTGCAGCCAAACCATCAGTAAGCCGTGATGATGACCGCAACACCTAAAAACCACAAGAATCCAGTTCCTGGCATTCCAGCCATCTTACCGGTGCGCCCCCTCCTGCGAGGAGCTGAATCATCTGCTGCATCATCTGTTGCTGAGCGTTGCTGCTGCCCCCTGCTGGAGAGGCGCTGCTGGGTGGGGAGGAGGAGGTGGTGTTGTCGGGGGCTGTGCTTCCGCTGGATGCCGGCGGCACTCCGGGGATACTGAAAGTACCAAAAATGAAGATTAAAAATTTGAGTAAGAATACCAGGGATCTAAGAAGGCTTCCAAGGTCCCATTCACACTGCGAGGGAAAGGTAAAATGTGGGAAAAGTTCAAAATAATCACCCCTGCCACAATAGGAAGAACAGGAAGTTAATTTCCCAGCAGGCACTGGGGAAACGCCATAAATGTAGAGTCTGGGGATGGGCATCTGTGCGGGTGGTGCCACGGCAGGACCCACACAAATACCAACAGCTGCAACCACCCACAGAGATTAATCCTGATGGCACGCCACCCGCACTGGGAACCTCAGTGCCCTTGCGGGCTGCAATATAAATCCTAATGGCACGCCACCCGCACTGGAAATCGCAACCGTACGAGTGTCAGATAATGGTTAAAGAATCTGCATGGGTGTAGATTGTAAAAAGACAGCAAAGTTGAGATGTGACCGCCACCAAAAAGTATTTGTACTTTTGCTGAAGGGCAGCGTTAGTTTTTGTTTTTTTTCAATGGCAGCGCCATTCGAGTGTTCTTGGCTGAATTTTTTTTTAAGCGGTTTTAACATTTAAAAAACGCATTTCTACATCTAAAGTTAAGCTTGAGGCTTGGTTCACATCTGTGCGGGTGGTGCCACTACAGGACCCGCAAAAATACCGGCAGCTGCAACCACCCACACAGATTAATCCTAATGGCACACCACCCGCACTGGAAATCGCAACCGTACTGGGAACCTCAGTGCCCGTGCGGGCTGCAATATAAATCCTAACGGCACACCACCCGCAATGGAAATCGCAACCATACTGGGAACCTCAGTGCCCGTGCGGGCTGCAATATAAATCCTAACGGCACACCACCCGCAATGGAAATCGCAAACATACTGGGAACCTCAGTGCCCATGTGAGCTGCAATATAATGGCACACCACCCATACTGGAAAATCGCAACTGTACTGGGAACCTCAGTGCCTATGTGGGCTGCAATATAAAACATGGTGCAGGGACTTCTTTCCTGCGTGTCACTGGGCACGGCAGCCCATTCAAATGAATATGCTCTAGGTGCCGACGCAAACTGCGACCGCACAGGTGTGAACCTAGCCTAAAAGTGCACACTACACCACTGCCCCTCCCTTCTGCTTGTACTGTGGGTTGACTGGAGTTCCTCTTTAACATATTTACCCGTAGTTTTTTTTTTTTTTTTTAACCACTTGCTCCCTGCTGTTCCACACAAGGCCCCCACATTATCCTATGAAACATTTCCAACTAAATGAAGCCTACTACCTCAACAGGCAATTGTCAGCTCTTCAACGGCAAAGCTTCCTGCCCCCGTGATGTCATTACTTCCTAGGGAACCAACCACCTGAACATGTCAGGGTAGCATTTGGCTGCTTCCGCCGCAAACTGAAAATGTGTGATCTCACCTGGATAGCAGGCCGGGGGCCTCTGTCTGTAAAGTCTGTAGGCCTTGCTGGATTTGGAGAAGCGCTTGCATGGCTCGGGGATTGGAAATGACAGAAAGAGCTTCAGGATTCTGCATCTGTGGATAAATAGAACATTGGTGGCATGAATAGGGTATGGTGCTGTGTAGAACAGCTTACAGTATCTGGCTCTGGGATGGGGGAACCTTCCTCTGATTGGGTGAGGCAGACATCGTGACATCAGCCAATCAGAGGATGCTTTGCATTCGATCTCAGAATACAAAGCTTTCTGCGAATGGCTGAGCAGTGCTCAGCCCAACGCCATTTTGTTCTGGGAAGTCCCTATCCCACTGCTGGAACACAGTGCTGTATACTGTAGGCAGCTGAGGCTACATGCAGTTAAAGCAGAACTCCAACCAAAAGGGGAAGTTCAGCTTGTCTGCCTCCCCACCCCCCTCCACTGCCACATTTGGTACTTTTGAGTGGGGGGGGGGTGGAGTGGGTACCTGGTTCTGACAGATACCTGCCTGCTCTCACTTCCAGATCAAATAGCTGTGGCGATCTGAGACAAAAGATTGCCCCCCCCCCCCCTCCTAATCCCCACAGCCCTCTGGGACACTTCACAGGTACATGCATGCCCAATAGGAAACTGGTTATCAAGGCTGCACTATCGGTTTCCCTTACTGAAAGTGACCCGAAGCTGACTGAAGAATACCGCCTCGGGTAAGGACGTCGCTGGACCCCCGGGACAGGCAAGTGCCCTTATATTAAAGCGGAGTTCCACTCGCGCTGTCAAAAAATAAAAGTCGGCAGCTACAAAAACTGTAGCTGCTGACTTTTAAAAAACAGCCACTTACCTGTCCCTCGGTGTGTCCCCCGCAGCCTGTTTCACCCGGCTCTCCTGTATTCCAGGAGGCCGCCATCTTCAGTGTGGGCTGTGACAGCTTGCGGCTTCACAGCCAGGTACCCACTGCGCATGCGCGAGTAGCGTCGCGCTTCATGAATGGTCCTTTAGTCTTCTGGGACCTGTCACGTGTCCCAAAAGACTACAGGGAGGGAGGACACCTTCCGTTTCCGATCGCCTAGGAGGTCGGACCGGAAGTGGGAGCGGGGACCTGTCAAATTCGGGTACCCGCTCCCCCCCCCCCCTCATCCCCCAAAAGGTGCCAATCCTTAATGGGGAGCAATCCTTAAAGCGGAACTTCCCCTTTTAGGTGGAGCTCCGCTTTAAAAAAAAAAGTCAGCAGCTACAGTATTTGTAGCTGCTGACTTCATTTTTTGGGGGGAGCCCATGGCTCCACTATAACACTGAATGCTCAGCAAGTGTCCCTGTTAGTGCGGTAAAATAGTTCACTTGGGCCAGCTTGGCCCAAACAAACAATTTTAGCCTAATTCCATATTTGACGTCCCCTTTAAACTTTCGTTCTGCTTTAGGGCTCGTTCACACTTGGCTGTTTTGCCAACGCTTGCCAAACGCCCCTATAGCGTTTGGCAAGCGTTGGTCCGGCGTTTGCGGAGCGTTTTTTTTAACGCTCGGCAAACGCTCCACAAACGCCGCATGCGCGGTTTAGCGGCGGTCGCTAGGCGTTTGCCAAGCGTTAATAACGCCCCACAAACGCCTATAATGCAGTTTGAGTGGTGTTACCACTCCGCAAACGCCCCGCAAACGCCGGCCGGCCGGGCGTTTGCGGAGCGGCACCATAGACGAGAATAGGAGGCTTCAAAGCCTCCTGACTCGACCAGAGGCGTCCGTTTTGCCGCGACGCAACGCGACGCTCCCGTTAGAACAGCACCATGTGCTGTAATGTGCAGAATTGGCAGAGGCGTTTGGGAAGCGGTAAAAACGCCTCCCAAACGCCTCTCTGCCGCCTGCACACAGCGCTAGTGTGAACGTAGCCTTAAAGTAAACATGTCCTATACAACTACCTGCTCTAAAAAGGCCGACCTACAAAAGAAGAACACAGATGGAAAGGCTCCGTGGAAGGCGAAGGCCACAAGTCACTTACCTGTTGTAGGAAGGCGGGCAATTGAAGTCGAAGCTGTTCTTGGAGCTGGGGGTTACCGGCCAGAATAGGAATATTACCAATCATCTGGAAGGGGATAAACGGCACATCACACTGGGTACTACCAAGGCAGAACCAACAGAACATTTATAGAATCATGGCATTACAATGAACCTGTCAGGTCCTAATCATCATGTGAGCCAACAGACCTGGTAAGGCTGCATTCACTCCGGTGATTAGGGTCAGTGAAAATTGTAGAGCTGGGAATCAGATTCCTGCTGCGGCTCTCAACGGCTAAGTGCAGCCACGGGCCCCGATCACTATTTTGACAGGACGCCAGAAGCTGCAGCTTTTCGCCGCTTCCTGCACAGCCACACAGAGTATCTGTGGTAATTGCTGCTGGATGCAAAAACACAAAAAAAAAAAAAAAAAAAAAAAAGTGCCAGTAATGGCATGCTGCTTTCCAGACAATGCAAAATCGCCCCCCCCCCCCCCCCCCCCCAGACTTTAATGCAAAACCGCTAGCCACATTGAATTGAATAGAAATTTTTAACCACTTCCCGTCCATGTACATAAACAGCTGGAAGGGGGCAGTGCAGGAGCGGGTTGCCATTTATAAACGGCGCCCAGACTGCGCACTGTACAGGACCTCTGTGTGAGGCCCCGATTCATGTGATCTCACTGATTGGCCAATCGGTGATCACATGAATAGTAGTAAGCAAGATTTATTCAGGTACTTATATAGCGCCATCAATTTACGCAGCGCTTTACATATATATTGTACATTCACATCAGTCCCTGACCCTCAAGGGGCGTCCAATCTAAGGTCCCTAACTTACATTCATACATATACCAAGGCCATATTAGACAGGATCCAATTAACCTCTACCAGCATATCTTTGGAGTGTGGGAGGAAACCGGAGTACCCGGAGGAAACCCACGCAGGCACAGGGAGAACATGCAAACTCCAGGCAGGTGGTGCCATGGCTGGGATTTGAACCAACAACCCGAGTACTGCCAGGCGGAAATGCTAATGTCACTTCATGACAAACTACTTGTGAAATCTGTGAATGATCACAGAGGTCACATGGTACAGGGCTATTCATAACAGCCTTGTACCATGTGACAAGCTGTGACCAATCACAGCTCGTCAAGTATTTCTCAATGGCTGCAAGAATGCAGCCAGAGAGAAGGAGAAATTATTGATTTTACAGCCTTTATGGGTGTAAAAGCAATCAGTGTTAAAAAAAAAATAAAAAAAAAATAAAAAAAAAAAATCATCCCTTACAAGTAGTACAGTGTCACTATGGTGACACTTTACTGCTAGGGTGACCGTATGTTAAAAAAAAACAAATAAAATATGAAATAAAAATTTAAAAAAAGTTTTTGAAAAATTATAATTTTTGGTTATAAACTAATTTGGGTTTTTTTTTTTCACTAAAAAAGAAAAAAAACTGAATAAATGTTGGCCAAGATTTATGAAGAAAGATTATTTGCAAAATTTTATAAGAAAAACTTTTCAAAATTTTTGGACTTTCATTTACATAGCAAAAAACAAAATAAAAATCCCTGTGGTGAATAAATACCACCAAAATAAAGTTTTAAGAAAACACTAAAAAATTCATATGGGTACAGTGTTGCATGACCGCGCAATTATCATTCAAAGTGCGACAGAGCTGAAAGCTGAAAATTGGCCTGGACAGGAAGGGGGTAAAAATGTCCTGACATGAAGTGGTTAAACCCTCCTATCCTTTACAGCCAAGGAAGCCGCTTCTGTTAGATCTGCAACTGCCATGGTGCTGCACATGTGATCCGTTATGACACCAGCCATCTGATGGTTTGACAGTTTGGTTGAGGACACGAGCAAATGTGACAGTTAGCAATCCCGGCGTCTGTTTTTTTTAAACCGTTAAATATGCGTGTTTAGTTCTACTTTATTATTTACTGCTGCTCAGGGGTTCTGGGTGTCAGCAAAATGGCCACCTCCAGCAAGAAGAACCAGACAACGCTGGAGGCAATTTACAGCACACACTGATGTTGGCAGCAGAACTATTAACATAGAATGTATGATCCTTCCTAAAGAACATTTTTTTAATCAAGTTAAGAGTAAAGTTCCGCTTTAAAATTTATATTCAAATCGAAACTCAAAATGAGCTTCCCTCCCCCCATCATAATTACTTAACATGAACAGCCTATCACTTTGAACCTCAGGCCTATGGCAAACCAATCATACACAAGACAGATGAATGACAGATGAATGACAGATGAATGACAGACCAACCTGTGCGGCAAAGTCCGGATTCTGGGCGAGCGTCTGCATCATGCTGCGCATGTAGGGGGCGGAGATCATACTCTGCATTAGCTGCGGATTCTCGGATATCTGCTGCAGCAGACCCTGCATTTCTGGGCTGTTAAACATGCCTGATAGGAACATAAAAAGAAAAAAGAAAAAAAAAAAAAAAAAAAGCCATTAAATTTTTTTTTTAAACCGCTTTCCTGCCGCCCTATAGCAGAATTACTGCTACAGGGCGGCAGGGGTGTGCAAACTCATATCTATAGATGAATCTATATATGAATTGTGTGATACAGTATATAGATATCTATATATCATGTGATTTTCCATTTCCGGGTAGGGGGCGCATGTGAGCCCTACCCGCACTGCCATTGTTGGCCTCTCCTGTTGATCACCGGGTCCTGGCCAGTGATTCTCCTCCGGCGCCTGGCGATCGCCGTGCATCACCGACGGGGGAGATGCCTGTATGTAAACAATACAGATCTCTCCCGCCAGCTCCTGCGCACTGCTTTGTATGGATCTGCACAGCAGAGCAATACAAAGCAATGTGCTTTCACAGTAAAGGGCACACACAGCACACAGTTAACCCTTTGATTGACCCAGATGTTAACCCCTTCCTGCCCAGTGCCATTAGTACAGTAAAGAGTATTTACACCCCTCCCCCCCACCCAGACCAGGGCATTTTTTGCGATACGGTGCTGCGTTACTTTAACTGACAATTGCGCGGTCATGCAACGCTGCACCCAAATTAAAATTTGTGTCCTTTTTTTTCCCCCCACAAACAGAGCCTTCTTTCGGTGGTATTTGTGAACGCCTTTGTGGTTTTTATTTTTTGCGCTGTCATGCAACGCTGCACCCAAATTAAAATTTGTGTCCTTTTTTTTCCCCCCACAAACAGAGCCCTCTTTCGGTGGTATTTGTGAACGCCTTTGTGGTTTTTATTTTTTGCGCTGTCATGCAACGCTGCACCCAAATTAAATTTGTGTCCTCCCCCCCCCCCCCCCCCCACAAATAGAGCCTTCTTTCGGTGGCATTTGTGAACGCCTTTGTGGTTTTTATTTTTTGCGCTATAAAAAAAACAAAACAAAAAAAAAAAAAAAACAAACAACAATTTTGAGAGAAAAAATACAATATTAGCACTGATCACTGTATTGGTATCACTGAGGAGGTCAGTGGCAGTCAGTTCCCCCCCAGTGTAAGAATGCCCGCCACAGTCCCGCTATAAGTTGCTCATCATTGCCATTGCTAGTATAAAAAAAAAAAAAAAAAATTCCAGTATATATACCGCCATTTGTAATTTTTTTTTTCTTTAGCAAAGAAATGTCGTAAAATACATTTTGGCCTAAATTTATGACGAAATTTGATTTTTTAATTTTTTTTTACCGGACATGTTTAACAGCAAAAAGTAAAAAATATTGTAATTTTTTTTTCAAAATTGTTGGTCTTTTGTTTTTTTTATAGCGCAAAAAATAAAAACAGCAAAGGCGTTCACAAATACCACCGAAAGAAAGCTCTATTTGTGGGGGAAAAAAAAAAAAAAAAAAGGACACACATTTAATTTGGGTGCAGCGTTGCATGACCGTGCAATTGTCAGTATTTGCAAGTAATGCAGCACTGTATCGCAAAAAATGGCCTGTCTGGGGGGTGGGGGAGGGGTGTAAATCCTCTGGAGGGCAAGTGATTAATGCAAAAAGAGTGTAAGTATCTGAATTTGTCCTGGCACCAGCCTCCTACAGTCCCTGAACAGCAGTGCTCTGACTGGGGGAGGAAAGAAGCAGCACACGGAGCCAATTGCAGCACTAATAAGTAATATGCTGACAGGAGGAGAGAGCAAAGTGTCAGAGAAGCTCTCAGTTTCTCCTTTCACAGGGCTGTTCTATGTAGCAGAGCTGTGTCTGAGCACTGGTTGAACAGAAACAATATACCCCGGCAGGTAAAACAGATCCCCATATATTTCGTCTGTCTAAATAAAGCTGAATTGCAGACAAACAGCAAAAGTTACAATGAGCAAAAAAGCAGCAAAAACAGATCATACCTGACCCCAGACTGGCACCGCTGATGCCAAATGGGTTGGAAATGGTAGGATTGGTCTGGCTGGTGGTGGAGCCGTTGTTCCCCTCAGTACTGGCTGTCTGACTAGGAGAGGATGATGAAGGGTTCCAGGGGTTGGGAAGAGGCTCGCGGTTCTCTGTGCGCAGAGGCTGGGAGGCCGAACCCTCAGTGCCGCCAGCAGAGGAAAATGGATTGTTACCAAACTGGAAGAATAAAGAGCAAGGAAGAGAGTGAGGCAAGAATAGGACACAAAACACAAATAAAAACATTTCAATTCTGGACCCTTCCAGCTTGCTAACAAAACCAAAAGCATGTGCCTTTGGTCACATGATCTCTGCTGGAGGAAAGGATTAGCCAATCTGTGTTCTGATCTTTACTATGAACACCTTCCCACCTGCCCTATAGCAGATTGACAGCCAAGCCAAGTGGGACGATCCTCCTGAGTGGGCGTTATAAGACGTCCTCTCAGAAGGCGCTACTCACGCGACTGTGGTGGCCAATGGCTGATCACTACACCGACCCGCTGCCAGGGTCATGTGATTGCTGTGACCATCCATTGTATACAATTGTGGTGTTAGCTGTGATTGGTCACAGCAATCACATGGTTCAGACAGAGCCAATCACAGCTAATAACAAAAGACACTGAATGAATCAGTTTCATTCAGTAAAAATGTTTTCTTAGATCAATGAAATAGATTGGTGTAAGCAATCATAATGTGAAAAAAAAAAAAAAAAACAAACAAAACTGACCACTTCCCCAGAGTAGTACAGTGTTACTATGGTAACCCTGTATTGCTCTGGTCACAGTGTGTTAAAAAAAAAAAAAAAAAAAAAAAAAAAAAAACAAAAAAAAAACAAAATTTACATTTCATTTGTACACACACACACGTCAGTGTCCCTGATCATGCTGTACTGGACTAGTGACAATTTGTAAAAAAGTAAATAAATAAAAAAATATAATAATTTTGGAATTCCCCGCCCTCATTTTCCAAAAATTGTGACAAAAAACAAAATTACGTCAAAATACTTGCCATGCCTCTTACTAAATACATTGGACTGTCTATTGTCCAAAAAGAGTTCATGTTGGGGATATTCGGAATACGTACAGTGCTGCATGGCCATCAGTGCAGAAAGCTGTCAATTGGCCTGGGTAGGGAGGGGGTAAAAGTGGCCGGTATTTAAAGTGGTTAGACAGACTTCCCCCGACCAAACCCCTAGGTCTTTGATCACATGGTTTTGGCTGTAGGCTTGGGGCAACACAGTGGCTAAATGCTCAGCACTCCCGCCTGGCAGTACTAGGGTCGTTGGTTTGAATCCCAGCCACGGCACCACCTAGCTGGAGTTTGCATGTTCTCCCTGTGCCTGCGTGGGTTTCCTCCAGGTACTCCGGTTTCCTCCCACATTCCAAAGACATGCTGGGAGGTTAATTGGCTCCTGTCTAAGTTGGCCCTAATATGTGTATATATGAATGTAAGTTAGGGACCTTAGATTGTACGCCCCTCGAGGGTTAGGGACCTTAGATACGCTCCTCGAGGGTTAGGGACCTTAGATATACGCTCCCTGAGGGTTAGGGACCTTAGATTGTACGCCCCTCGAGGGTTAGGGACCTTAGATTGTACGCCCCTCGAGGGTTAGGGACCTTAGATTGTACGCCCCTCGAGGGTTAGGGACCTTAGATTGTACGCCCCTCGAGGGTTAGGGACCTTAGATTGTACGCCCCTCGAGGGTTAGGGACCTTAGATTGTACGCCCCTCGAGGGTTAGGGACCTTAGATTGTACGCCCCTCGAGGGTTAGGGACCTTAGATTGTACGCCCCTCGAGGGTTAGGGACCTTAGATTGTACGCCCCTCGAGGGTTAGGGACCTTAGATTGTACGCCCCTCGAGGGTTAGGGACCTTAGATTGTACGCCCCTCGAGGGTTAGGGACCTTAGATTGTACGCCCCTCGAGGGTTAGGGACCTTAGATTGTACGCCCCTCGAGGGTTAGGGACCTTAGATTGTACGCCCCTCGAGGGTTAGGGACCTTAGATTGTACGCCCCTCGAGGGTTAGGGACCTTAGATTGTACGCCCCTCGAGGGTTAGGGACCTTAGATTGTACGCCCCTCGAGGGTTAGGGACCTTAGATTGTACGCCCCTTGAGGGTTAGGGACCTTAGATTGTACGCCCCTCGAGGGTTAGGGACCTTAGATTGTACGCCCCCTGAGGGTTAGGGACCTTAGATTGTACGCCCCTTGAGGGTTAGGGACCTTAGATTCTACGCCCCTTGAGGGTTAGGGACCTTAGATTCTACGCCCCTTGAGGGTTAGGGACCTTAGATTGTACGCCCCTTGAGGGTTAGGGACCTTAGATTGTACGCCCCCTTGAGGGTTAGGGACCTTAGATTGTACGCCCCCTTGAGGGTTAGGGACCTTAGATTGTACGCCCCTTGAGGGTTAGGGACCTTAGATTGTACGCCCCTTGAGGGTTAGGGACCTTAGATTCTACGCCCCTTGAGGGTTAGGGACCTTAGATTGTAGGCCCCCTTGAGGGTTAGGGACCTTATATTGTACGCCCCTTGAGGGTTAGGGACCTTAGATTGTAGGCCCCCTTGAGGGTTAGGGACCTTAGATTGTACGCCCCTTGAGGGTTAGGGACCTTAGATTGTAGGCCCCCTTGAGGGTTAGGGACCTTAGATTGTACGCCCCTTGAGGGTCAGGGATCTTAGATTGTACGCCCCTTGAGGGTTAGGGACCTTAGATTGTAGGCCCCTTGAGGGTTAGGGACCTTTGATTGTAGGCCCCTTGAGGGTTAGGGACCTTAGATTGTACGCCCCTTGAGGGTCAGGGATCTTAGATTGTACGCCCCTTGAGGGTTAGGGACCTTAGATTGTAGGCCCCCTTGAGGGTTAGGGACCTTAGATTGTACGCCCCTTGAGGGTCAGGGATCTTAGATTGTACATCCCTTGAGGGTTAGGGACCTCAGATTGTACGCCCCTTGAGGGTCAGGGATCTTAGATTGTACGCCCCTTGAGGGTTAGGGACCTTAGATTGTACGCCCCTTGAGGGTCAGGGACCTTAGATTGTACGCCCCTTGAGGGTCAGGGATCTTAGATTGTACGCCCCATGAGGGTTAGGGACTGATGTGAATGTACAATATATATATGTAAAGTGCTGCGTAAATTGATGGCGCTATATAAGTACCATAAATAAATAGGTGATGATAACCTTACCCTAATAGCGCACTAATGTACAAAAACGATCGAGAAATGCATCATGTCGCACAATCTCTTATCTATACAATACAAAGAGCTTTCCTTGTTGGCTATTTTTGCACAAATATTACCTAACTGGTAATCACGTTAATCGTCTACAAGGACTAGAACATTCATAATGGATGCAGAAGCGCATACACCAAAAGGAAGGGCATCAGCTCCCTCTGCTGGAGGACAGAAGGAGTGGCGGTCAGAGGTTACCTGCTCTCTGGCTGCACTGAACATGGGCTCCTGTATGTCGGTGTACATGCGGCGTAAGGCGTTGTACCCCCCAGGGATGCTCTCCAGATTGCTCAGAGCTCGGTCCTGGTTCCTCATCATTTCTTGCATCATGGCCGGGTTGCGAGCCAGCTCCATGGTCTGAAATTAGAAAGAGAACAAAAAGAAAGAGTTGACGTGATGTGGGTCAAAGTATCACAGCTCAGCATACAGACTTCTGGAACTAACAAAAACCATCAATGAGGGTTGATATTTATGCAATAAAGCAGAGGTCTCCAAACTTTTCAAACAAAGGGCCGGTTTATTGTCCTTCAGACGTTAAGAGGGCCGGAGTGTGGCCGGTGGAGGTAGAAAATATGTTGTGCCCAGCATCAGTAAGAATAAATATGGCCTCAGGGTTGGTGGTCAGTAGGAGGACAAGTAGTGCCCCACTGTTGGAATTAATGGGAGGAATAGTGCTCCATCGTTGGGGTCAGTGGGAGGAATAGTGCCCCATCATTGGTGTCAGTGGGAGGAATAGTGCCCCATCATTGGTGTCAGTGGGAGGAATAGTGCCCCGTCATTGGTGTCAGTGGGAGGAATAGTGCCCCGTCATTGGTGTCAGTGGGAGGAATAGTGCCCCGTCATTGGTGTCAGTGGGAGGAATAGTGCCCCGTCATTGGTGTCAGTGGGAGGAATAGTGCCCCGTCATTGGTGTCAGTGGGAGGAATAGTGCCCCGTCATTGGTGTCAGTGGGAGGAATAGTGCCCCGTCATTGGTGTCAGTGGGAGGAATAGTGCCCCGTCATTGGTGTCAGTGGGAGGAATAGTGCCCCGTCATTGGTGTCAGTGGGAGGAATAGTGCCCCGTCATTGGTGTCAGTGGGAGGAATAGTGCCCCGTCATTGGTGTCAGTGGGAGGAATAGTGCCCCGTCATTGGTGTCAGTGGGAGGAATAGTGCCCCGTCATTGGTGTCAGTGGGAGGAATAGTGCCCCGTCATTGGTGTCAGTGGGAGGAATAGTGCCCCGTCATTGGTGTCAGTGGGAGGAATAGTGCCCCGTCATTGGTGTCAGTGGGAGGAATAGTGCCCCGTCATTGGTGTCAGTGGGAGGAATAGTGCCCCGTCATTGGTGTCAGTGGGAGGAATAGTGCCCCGTCATTGGTATCAGTGGGAGGAATAGTGCCCCATCATTGATGTCAGTGGGAGGAATAGTGCCCCATCATTGGTATCAGTGGGAGGAATAGTGCCCCATCATTGGTATCAGTGAGAGGAATAGTGCCCCATCATTGGTGTCAGTGGGAGGAATAGTGCCCCATCATTGGTATCAGTGGAATAGTGCCCCATCATTGGTATCAGTGGGAGGAATAGTGCCCCATCATTGGTATCAGTGGGAGGAATAGTGCCCCATCATTGGTGTCAGTGGGAGGAATAGTGCCCCGTCATTGGTGTCAGTGGGAGGAATAGTGCCCCGTCATTGGTGTCAGTGGGAGGAATAGTGCCCCGTCATTGGTGTCAGTGGGAGGAATAGTGCCCCGTCATTGGTGTCAGTGGGAGGAATAGTGCCCCGTCATTGGTGTCAGTGGGAGGAATAGTGCCCCGTCATTGGTGTCAGTGGGAGGAATAGTGCCCCGTCATTGGTGTCAGTGGGAGGAATAGTGCCCCGTCATTGGTGTCAGTGGGAGGAATAGTGCCCCGTCATTGGTGTCAGTGGGAGGAATAGTGCCCCGTCATTGGTGTCAGTGGGAGGAATAGTGCCCCGTCATTGGTGTCAGTGGGAGGAATAGTGCCCCATCATTGGTATCAGTGGGAGGAATAGTGCCCCATCATTGGTATCAGTGGGAGGAATAGTGCCCAATCATTGGTATCAGTGGGAGGAATAGTGCCCCATCATTGGTGTCAGTGGGAGGAATAGTGCCCCATCATTGGTGTCAGTGGGAGGAATAGTGCCCCATCATTGGTATCAGTGGGAGGAATAGTGCCCCATCATTGGTATCAGTGGGAGGAATAGTGCCCCATCATTGGTGTCAGTGGGAGGAATAGTGCCCCATCATTGGTGTCAGTGGGAGGAATAGTGCCCCATCATTGGTGTCAGTGGGAGGAATAGTGCCCCATCATTGGTATCAGTGGGAGGAATAGTGCCCCATCATTGGTATCAGTGGGAGGAATAGTGCCCCATCATTGGTGTCAGTGGGAGGAATACTGCTTCATATCAGTGGGAGTTGAATTTCGGGGGGGCGGGGGGTTGGCACAAACTGCAGAGAACATATGAACTGTATATGCATAGTGTCCTTGGTGGAATCAAACCAATGACCCACACCCGCAAGTCGGCTATGCAAATCACTTAGCCACCACAGTGCCCACATCATATAGGACCATGAACTGACCAAGCACCACTGAACGTGGACGCACACGCACACACATGTCTTTCGTACACAACTTTCTCCCTGTGTCCCAGAGAGAGAAAAAAAAAATTTTAATTTAGAAATGGGTAAAATGGTTGTAAAGGCTGAAGGTTTTATCTACGTCCATGTATTCTATGCATGAAGGTAAAATATCTGTGTGCAACAGCTCCTCCCCCAGCCCCCCCCCAATACTGACCTAAGCCTCCTCTCGATCCAGCGATGTGCACTGGAGTCTCAGCAATCCCAGGACCCCCTCTCCTCATTGGCCACTGCTGTCAATCACAACCGGTGAGCCAATGAGAAAAGAGAGGGGGCAAGGCCAAGCCGCGGCTCCGTGTATGAATGGATACACTGTGCAGCACGTGCCCCCATATTAAGCGGACTGCTGTGGGGGCACCCGACAGTAGGGAGGGGTCAGGGGTGCCGGTGGTGGGACCCGAGAAGAGGAGGATCTGGGCTAGTCTGTGAAAAACCACTGCAGAGAGCAGGCAAGTATGATGTGTTTTTTTTTTTTTTTAAATTTGAAACAGTCCTCACAAGACGCAGCCAGATAGGGAAGGAAAGTCAGTGCATACAGCAAAGGTGTGAAAAGGCAAAACAGTGGGCATAGGTGGAAGACTTCACATATAGAAGACCCTTCTGACCCCATAGAACAGGGATCACTACCAGGGGGACCGCAGTCCAGACCCTAACCAAGTGACAGTCCTGTCTGGACTGCGGCCACCACTTAGCAGCTGGAGGTCCTCTCCTGGGTCTCCTGCCCGGTCACCATGGTCATTCTTACAGCAGGGGCAGGGGGTGCTGCAAATACAGAAAGAGTGGGAGTCTTCAAATTAACGAGCAGTGGTCACCCATCGTTGGGCAGCTACTGCTCTCTGTCCAAATCTGCAGTACCTTCTGCCCCCCTGCGAGGATGATGTCGGCAGCTGGGCAGGAGGACCCAGGAGAGGACACCCAGGCTGATAAGTGCCTCTGCCACTCTGGGTAAGGATATGCATAGGAGGCTTCCATTGAAAGGGGCGCTGCAATGTAAAGGGACAGTGTGTGAATGCTGTAAAGTGAGGACTATGATTTAAAGGGGGACTGTGGACACTGATGTAAAAAGAAGTGTGGGGGGGGGGACTGTGATGTGAAGGGGGGAGTGAGGACACTGATGTAAAGAGGGGTCTGAGATGTAAAGGGGGCTATGATGAGAAGGGGAGGCAGAAGACACTGATGTAAAGAGGGGTCTGAGATGTAAAGGGGGCTATGATGAGAAGGGAGGCAGAAGACACTGATGTAAAGAGGGGTCTGAGATGTAAAGGGGGCTATGATGTGAAGGGGAAGCTGAAGACACTGATGTCAGGGGAAACTGAGGTAAAGGGAGGCAGTGATGTGTGTTATAGCGCAAAAAATTATATTCGGACATCTGCAGGAAAAAAACTTTACTGACTAGAACTCCAAAAATGTTTAATTCATGACCCCTGCCATAGAGGCTCAGGTGGACAGAACAGTGAAGGAAGGGTAGAGATGGCAGACATAGCCAAGCAGTGCCCATACAGAGGAGCTCAGGTAGACAGGACAGAGAAGGAAGAGTAGAGATGGTAGACAGCCAAGCAGTGCCCATACTGCAAAGCTCAGGTAGACAGAACAGAGAAAACAGAAGTAGCTAGATAGAGTTCCTATAAAAGAGCTCAGGTAGACAGGACAAAGAAGGAAGGGTAGAGATGGCAGACATAGCCAAGCAGTGCCCATACAGAGGAGCTCAGGAGGACAGGGCAGAGAAGGAAGAGTAGAGATGGTAGACATAGCCAAGCAGTGCCCATACAGAGGAGCTCAGGTAGACAGGACAGAGAAGGAAGAGTAGAGATGGTAGACATAGCCAAGCAGTGCCCATACAGAGGAGCTCAGGAGGACAGAACAGAGAAGGAAGGGTAGAGATGGTAGACATAGCCAAGCAGTGCCCATACAGAGGAGCTCAGGAGGACAGGGCAGAGAAGGAAGGGTAGAGATGGTAGACATAGCCAAGCAGTTCCCATACAGAGGAGCTCAGGTAGACAGGACAGAGAAGGAAGAGTAGAGATGGTAGACATAGCCAAGCAGTGCCCATACAGAGGAGCTCAGGTAGACAGGACAGAGAAGGAAGAGTAGAGATGGTAGACATAGCCAAGCAGTGCCCATACAGAGGAGCTCAGGAGGACAGAACAGAGAAGGAAGGGTAGAGATGGTAGACATAGCCAAGCAGTGCCCATACAGAGGAGCTCAGGAGGACAGGACAGAGAAGGAAGGGTAGAGATGGCAGACATAGCCAAGCAGTGCCCCATACAGAGGAGCTCAGGTAGACAGGGCAGAGAAGGAAGGGTAGAGATGGTAGACATAGCCAAGCAGTTCCCATACAGAGGAGCTCAGGAGGACAGGACAGAGAAGGAAGGGTAGACATGGTAGACATAGCCAAGCAGTGCCCATACAGAGGAGCTCAGTTGGGCAGGGCAGAGAAGGAAGCAGGGTGGATAAAAATCAATGATTTAAAAAAAAAAAAAAAAAAAATATCGGATTTTTTATTTAAATTGGATTTTTTTAATTTAAATCGGATTTTTTTAAATAAAATGCTTTTTGAGGAAAAATATATTACCATCCAAAGGTTATTCCATCATGAAATAAAGATTCGTTTTTTAATTATGCAGAATAAGGCTGTATATGTTTAATTATTTTGGTAAATAAATTCCATGAATCCATTCACAATGTCAGGCTCTTCCAGAGGTGTTTGTAAGATTATTGGGCAGTTTCTCTGCCTACAAGATATTATCACAGATGATCGGTTTACATTTGCAGTTCTCAAAACTGAATGTGACTCAGCGGAGATCACATGCCTCTTCTTCACAGCAAAAATGATATAACATGAACAGAGTTAAGAAAAAGACCTTCATCCTAACTTCTACAAACCTATGAATACAGAATCAACCCCTTCAGTGCGAAGGTGCAAGAAGTTCAGTGAATAGAATAGAAACAATATTTTTCTGATTGTTTGGAGTGGAATAGATCTGCACAAGAAGAAAGTGAAACTAAGTGCGAGGAGGAAGGGGCCGACAGTGCGAGGAGGAAGGGGCCGACAGTGCGAGGAGGAAGGGGCCGACAGTGCGAGGAGGAAGGGCCGACAGTGCGAGGAGGAAGGGGCCGACAGGGGAAGGAAGGGCCGACAGTGCGAGGAGGAAGGGGCCGACAGTGCGAGGAGGAAGGGGCCGACAGTGCGAGGAGGAAGGGGCCGACAGTGCGAGGAGGAAGGGGCCGACAGTGCGAGGAGGAAGGGGCCGACAGTGCGAGGAGGAAGGGGCCGACAGTGCGAGGAGGAAGGGGCCGACAGTGCGAGGAGGGAGGGGCCGACAGTGCGAGGAGGGAGGGCGACAGTGAGGGGGAGGGGCCGACAGTGCGAGGAGGGAGGGGCCGACAGTGTGAGGAGGGAGGGGCTGACAGTGTGAGGAGGGAGGGGCCGACAGTCTACGTTTCTTAAAATATATATATTTTGTTTAGCCAAATTAGTTACCAAACATGGATGTTTAAGCAAATCACATCTGCTGGAATGTTATTGTTTCAGTTGAATAAATCTATTTAAATTGTTATTATTAAGGTAATGATTATTTTTCTCCTTCCTAAGTACAACAGAAAAGTTGTCCAAATATGAATGATTAACCTATTAAACTGGGGATAAAAAAACTAATATGAAAAGTTGTTGTTCTAAAAATCTTCATCTACTTGTATATTAAAGTTATACCAGCAAGAATTAGTCTTTATGTAGAAAACTAGGATTTAAATCAAGGCTTACTGACTAGTGATTTAAATCATGATTTAAATCAGTTTGATTTAAATGAAATCCACCCTGGAAGGAAGGGTAGAGATGGTAGACATAGCCAAGCAGTTCCTATACAGAGGAGCTCAGGAGGACAGGACAGAGAAGGAAGGGTAGAGATGGTAGACATAGCCAAGCAGTTCCTATACAGAGGAGCTCAGGAGGACAGGACAGAGAAGGAGGGTAGAGATGGTAGACATAGCCAAGCAGTGCCCATACAGAGGAGCTCAGGAGGACAGGACAGAGAAAGCAGAAGTAGGTAGATAGTAGAGTTCCCATACAGAGGAGCTCAGGTTAGTAGGGCAGACACCCCCCTGGTCAGAGCTGGCATACCTGTCTCATGAGCTCCGGGTTGTTCAGCATATGGCTGATTTCTGGATTCCTCTCCATCAGCTGCTGCATCTGAGGATTGGCCATGATCATCTGTCTCATGAGATCCGGGTTAGACATCATATTGTGTACCAGCGGGTTCTCCATGATCTGGGCCAGCATCTCGGGGTTGGACATGAGCTGGCGCTGCATTTGTTGCTGGAGCTCCATGAAGTTGGCAGAACCCATGCCTAGGTTGCCCAGCCCTGCCAGGCCTCCGAAACCAGCTGCAAGAAACATGGAATTAATAAAAACAAACGATACAGCAGAGGAGGTCAATGACCACTAAAAGGTGATATTTACAGAGAACCAATGAGGAACGGACATTTGTAAGACTGAATCTCTACCTTGTTTTGTCATCACAGTGTGACCTTACCTCACAGGAAAGGCTGCGTATGCTGGTATTCTCTTGTATACTCTCCCTGTCAGTGGAATGGCAGTGTATGCTGGTATTCTCTTGTATACTCTCCCTGTCAGTTGGATGGCAGTGTATGCTGGTATTCTCTTGTATACTCTCCCTGTCAGTTGGATGGCAGTGTATGCTGGTATTCTCTTGTATACTCTCCCTGTCAGTGGAATGGCAGTGTATGCTGGTATTCTCTTGTATACTCTCCCTGTCAGTGGGATGGCAGTGTATGATGGTATTCTCTTGTATACTCTCCCTGTCAATGGGATGGTTGTGTAGCTGGTATTCACTTGTATACTCTCCCTGTCAGTGGGATGGCAGTGTATGCTGGTATTCTCTTGTATACTCTCCCTGTCAGTGGGGTGGCAGTGTATGCTGGTATTCTATTGTATACTCTCCCTGTCAGTGGGATGGCAGTGTATGCTGGTATTCTATTGTATACTCTCCCTGTCAGTGGGATGGCTGTGTATGCTGGTATTCTCTTGTATACTCTCCCTGTCAGTGGGATGGCAGTGTATGCTGGTATTCTATTGTATACTCTCCCTGTCAGTGGGATGGCTGTGTATGCTGGTATTCTCTTGTATACTCTCCCTGTCAGTGGGATGGCTGTGTATGTTGGTATTCTCTTGTATACTCTCCCTGTCAGAGGGATGGCCGTGTATGCTGGTATTCTCTTGTCTACTCTCCCTGTCAGTGGGATGGTTGTGTTGCTGGTATTCACTTGTATACTCTCCATGTCAGTGGCATGTCTGTGTGGTATTCACTTATATACTCTCCCCGTCTGCGGGATAGTGGTGTATGCTGGTATTCTCTGTCAGTGGGATGGCTGTGTGCGTTATTTTCTTGAATACTCTCCCGGGCAGAGCATGAGTGACCACCCAGTTTCAGGTTATATTTCAAGAGCAGAAATTCAGATCATTACAGAGACCCCTCGATGACAAGTTTTCTATAAACAAGGGTTGACAAATGCACAATATTCTGCTCTAGGATTTGTGGTCTCCTCCCAGTATTGCTGGTATGCAGTAGGCCAGCCTTCTCTATGTACCCTTCCAGTAGCTGGTATATCAGTGTTCTAAGACTCCATGTTCAGAGCCAGATATGAGGGGCCAGAAAGTATGACACATCTACATTAAGGCAACACCCTGAATGAAAAGGACAATCCCCCTGGGCAAAATTAAAAAAAATTGCAAATTGTGATGGAGAACTTTAGCAGCTAGTTGGTGCATTATGGGACGGTCCACCCTCATAATCCTTTTTATCATTCTCAGTGCTAACTAATGTACCTGCAGCACCCCTGCAAGAAGAGGACATCAGAGTAGTAAATCTACAGCCACTGCCAGTGATGCCTGGCTCTGCCTTCAACCCACTTGCAGACTTTTTTTTTTTTTTGGAAAGGGGGGCACTGAACCAATTATACAAGTGGGGACAGGTGAAGACTAACAGTTCATGGACCGCTAGGATTTGTTCTCTGAACCGGTTTTAATATCTGAGCAGTTTTACCAGAACGGCAATCATACTTACACAAGAGACCCGAAGACGTGTTTCTGTCTGTTGTGGCCGTGGTTCCAGTGGTCGCTCTGGGGGTCTCTGCCTCAGGCTCAGTGGTGGTCTGTGCAGGAGGGGGGTCATTGCTTGCAGGACTAACGGCAGCAGTGGAAGCAGCAACAGCAGCAGCAGTAGCAGCGGCTGTGGCTGACGGGTCCTGTGACCTGCAAAATTAAAGTCGCTAATCAGCATTTTAAAATAAAGCTCAATGACAGAAACGAAGAAAAAAACAAGAAAAGGGAAAAAAAAAAAAAAAAAAAAACCCCAAAACAAAAAATAAATCCAGTTATAGCATCCCTTTAACCTCTTCACGCCGGCCGAACGCAAATGTGCGGTCTCCCGGCGTCTGGGCCTAGCCGCCACACAACATCTGCGTTCTATTAAAAGAAGACATATTTGCTGAGAGCGCGCGCCCTGCATGCTCCCAGCACACATGCCCGGTACTCACGGAAAAGGTCCCGGTCTCCTCTTTCGATTGGGACCTTTCCCGATCATGTGACCGCCGTGACGCGCCACGGTAGTCACATGACCCTAAACCCCGCCTGTCCCGGCTTCTGAAACTCTTAAAGGGCCGGGAGGTGCTGGCGTGAAGGAAGGGGTTAAAAAGTTCTAAATGACGGGGGGGGGGATCCTGGAATTAAGAATCGGAAGATCTTGTGCCCACAGTGGTCACATGACCCTAAACCTCACCTGTCCCGCCTCCTGGCTTCTGAAACTCTTAAAGGGCCGGGAGGCGCTGGCGTGAAAGACGGGGTTAAAAAGTTCTAAATGACGGGGGGGATCATGGCCTTAAGAATCGGAAGATCTTGTGCCCACAGTGGTCACATGAATGGAAGTCAGTCCTGCTGGCTACAAATCCTTTTCTTTTCTTAAATCTTTATACAATCCACAAAAAGAAGACAGAATGATACTACATTCTAAGATCCAGCGTAACATACCCAGCAAGTGCGATCTCAGTTGGCACTGTCTGAAGAGGCTTGTAGTGCTGGTCAAAGCCAGAGACCTAGGAGTAACCCCACCGGTATACAGATGATGGGAGCCGGGGGTCCTGTCATCGATGTAGCAATGGAAAAGACATGAATGCCAATGTTGGCCTTGAATGATGCTCCAGTCACGCCCCCAACGCGTTTCGCCCAGCCACAGAGGACTCATGACCAAGCCACAGTGGCCGAGGTGAAACACGTTAAGGGCGTAGCTGAAGTGGCAGTTGAGGCCAACACTGCCATTCACACTGGGAAGCCTGATGTGGCGTCTGTATCTCTTACTGAGTTGTCACCAAGCACACAATGAACGGGCTGCACAACGCCAATTTTTGCGACTTTTACAGTCACTGGGGCTTGAAGTGCTTTGCACAGAAAAACTGCTCTCTTATGGTGCGCCTGAATCAGCAGGATTTGCATTCAGCTTTGAATCCACAACTAATGATAAACTGCACTCTGAGACGTTCAAAGATCACTCGCCGCGGCATACCAAATAGGTAAACAGCACGGGCTCCGCTTTATTTGTTTTGGGACTAGCTCGGTACATACTGCAGCCCTTGTGGATTGTCGATTGACATTCCACAAACAGTTACAGAGTAACCTACAGAATTCAAGCAGAATTTCAGCCTAAACCTAACAACAGTCTAGACTCCAATCTGTCTTTCCAGCCCCAGGTCCAATCGCTGACAAATTCATGTAGACTCCACCTCCGCAACATCTCCAAAATACGTCCGTTCCTAACCCCAGAAACCACAAAGCAACTCATTCGCTCCCTTATTATATATCTCGACTTGACTACTGTAACTCCCTCCTCACCGGCTTACCCGAACACAGGCTATGCCCGCTTCAGTCCATCCTGAATTCTGCAGCCAGACTCATCCACCTCACCAACCGCTCCGTATCCGCCACCCCTCTCTGCCATTCCCTCCACTGGCTTCCGATTGCCCAACGCATAAAATTCAAATTATTAACATTGACGTACAAAGCTGTTCATAACACTGCCCCAAACTACCTCATTGACCTGATATCCATATACCACCCTACAAGCACTCTCCGCTCCTCACAAGACCTCCTACTCTCTAGTTTCCTAGTCTCCTCCTCCCATGCTCGTCTTCAGGACTTCTCCAGAGCTTCCCCCATCCTCTGGAACTCACTACCCCAATCCATCAGACTGTCACCTACCCTCACCATTAGGACCACCCTGAAAACCCATCTCTTCAGGGAAGCCTACCCCGCCCTCACCTAATTGCCAATCTCCTCCACTCTTCCTACCACTCCATCCCCCACAGCTATCTCCTCCTGTACCACCATCCCCTCCCTCCTAGATTGTAAGCTCCAAGGAGCAGGGCCCTCGAACCCCTCGGGTATCCCATTGTATTGTTATTGTACTGTCTCCCATTGTAATGTACAGCGCTGAGCAAACTGTTGGCGCTTTATAAATACTGTATAATAATAATAATAACATCATAACTAGTCTTGAGAATGTCCCCCTTTCCCCCCCTAAAACCTAGGCTGGCTAACCTGTGTTAAAAAGAAAAAAAAAAAAAGGAGAATGCAAATACTGGCCCGTTTCCAGCCCACTCCGGTTGATCCGGCTCTCCTATGTCAGCCAGCAGTGGCTGCAGGGGAGAAGAGGGAACGATGACAACAGATGCAACATGGGAGCCTAGAGGACACGTCTTGAATTCCAGAATTCCAAGCTGTTGTCGAGCGCTCCATCCTCTCCCCTGCAGCTGCTGGGGATCACGTGCCCAGACTGGAACAAGGAAGTATATATACTTTTTTTTTTTTTTTAATAATTTTGTTTTTACACAGAATATCCTGCATTTTGGGGGGACATTTTTAAGTCTAGTTTGGTCTAGGTTGAAATGTTATCATGCATTCTTCTATGCACAAGTCACTTCTGACAGGTTATGCCATCACCACAGCATCCTGAGGTATGGCTCCACACCCGCTCCAGTACACAGCAGGTGACTGACGGCCTCAGCAGTTCATGTTTCCCTATGAGGCTGTGTAGAGGGGAGTGTCAATTCTCTCCACTCTGGTCTCAGATTACACTCAGGTCTCTGCTGTGTAGTGCGACGTCAACTCCTCCAGCCTGCCTTCGGGTCGTTTCACTCTGGAGCGCTGCGGCCAGACCGTGGTTTTCACATGGGTCACCCGCAGTTTCTATTGGATGGTGCATTTTTTTGAACGTGCACCAAAAGATACAAAACGCATGACTTTTGGTGCGGTTTCAGAAAGTACCACCTAACAGAAGCCTATAGAAAAGCGCAGGTAGACTGCGCTACGGCCAAACCACTGCGCTG